ACAGGACATCTCCAATATAAGGCCACTTCTTCACAACCAGGAGACGTAAGTGACCATAGAAACAAACACAGATTTAGGCAAAACAAGGAAATAAAGGAATATGTTCCAAATAAGAGACCAAGACAAAAATCTCAGAAAAAGAACTAAACGAAACAAAAATAAGCAATCTACTCAATAAAGATTTCAAAGTAACAACCATAAAAGTTTTCACTGAACTCAGGAGAAGAATGGATGAACACAGTGATAACTCTCAAAACGGAGATAGAAAATATAAGAAGGTACCAATGAGAGCTAAAGAACTGAGTAACTGCAATGAAAAAAAAATACACTAGAGGGAATCAACAACAGATTAGATGATAGAGAAGACTGGATCAGTGATCTGGAAGGCAGAGCAGTAGAAATTAACCAAGCTGAAAAACAAAAAGAATTTTTTAAAAACGAGCAGTTTAATAGACCTCTGGTACAACACCAAGCATATTAATATTCACATTACAGGGGTCCCAGAAAAAGAAGAAAGGGGCAGAAAACTTTTTTAAAGAAATAATATCTGAAAACTTCCCTAACTTTTGGAAGAAAAAGACATCTGGGTCCAAAAGGCACAGAGCATCCCAAACAAGATGAACCCAAAAGTCCACATCAATAATAAATAAAATGTCAAAAATTAAAGACAAAGAGAGTCTTAAAAGTAGTAAAAGAAAAGTAACTATTACTTACAAGGGAATCCCCTTAAGACTAAAAGCTGATTATTCAGTAGAAACTTTGCTGGTCAGAAAGGAGTGGATGATATATTGGAAAAAGCTGAAAGAGAAAACCTACAACCAGGAATACTCTATGTGGCAAGGGTATCATTCAGAATTAAAGGAGAGATAAAGAGTCCCTCGATAAGCAAAAGCCACTGCTAACTCATCACCACCAAATCAACCTAACAAGAAATGCTAAAGTGACGTCTTTAATGAAAAAGAAAAGGCCATAACTAGAAATAAGAAAAGGAATACACAATTTTAAAAAATGTAATATATGACAGCAAAAAATTTAAAATTTGGTGGTAGGGGGAGTAAAAATGTACTGCTTTTAGAACGCATTTGAACTTACGCAACCAGTAACTTAAAGCAGACTAATACAGTGCTGTATACACAGGTTGTTAGACATCTATCTATCTATCTATCTATCTATCTATCTATCTATCTTATGGTAACCATAAGCTAGAAACCTATAATAGATTAAAAAAAAAAAAAACGCACAAACTAAAAACCTATGGTAGATTAAAAAAAAGAGAAAAGA